ATCATCATCATCATCATCACTATTATTGTCATCATCATCAGCATTGTTATCAGCATCACCATTGTTATCATCATCATCATCATCACTATTATTGTTATCATCATCAGCATTGCTATCATCATCAGCATTGTTATCAGCATCACCATTGTTATCATCATCATCATCATCATCACTATTATTGTTATCATCATCAGCATTGTTATCATCATCAGCATTGTTATCATCATCACCATTGCTATCATCATCAGCATTGTTATCATCATCAGCATTGTTATCATCATCAGCATTGTTATCAGCATCACCATTGGTATCACCATCATTGTTATCATCACCACCATTGTCATCATCATTATCGCGAACGTCAACGTTATCTGCATAGCTTACCCAAGGTTTTGAATCATTGAAGCCATAAAAGAAGAAGTGCAAAGAGGTAACAAAATAGTTGTAACTAAGTCTTCAATATCTTGTAATGACTCAACTGGAACAAATGATGGCTGTTGATTGAAATGGCCAATTAAATTCTTCAAACATTTCAGGTGGGCACTGAATGAAAAAGTGATCTTAATGTGAACAGTATTGCCTACCTGAGAAGATAGCTTGGAATAGAAAGAAGCAAGAAGATTACATGCTGAAGACAGAAGAGAAACATAGGAATCCTGCAAATAAAATGATCCAGAAGTCAATAAACAAAAAGTGAGAGAAATTTGGTTTAAGGAAGAAAAAATAATGCAAACGTTTTGATTGCAATGCAAGAGACAACAGAAGTAAGGTAAAATGTACTGGTTCAGAAATGGGCAGTCTGAACAATCGCCAATGTAAGCTGATGCTTGGTAAATGGTTGGTTGGGTGTTAGTGGTTAATTTTCCACACATTAAAAAAAACATTTACAAACCAACCATTTGCAACCCCATTTTTATTGTGTGAATTGTTCATTTGCAATACAAATACCAGGTAACCCCTGACAAAAATCACCTTAATACTGGGAGTATCTTTGTTGGGCTGTGGCCCGGTTGCCATGGTTACCTCCTTGCTGGGGGTTTTCTCATGAAACCGGATCCCACGTTGGTACCTAGCCCAAACTCATCAGTCAATGAGTTTTAATGTGTGAATTGTTCATTTACAATACAAATACCAGGTAACCCCTGACAAAAATCACCTTAATACTGGCAGTATCTTTGACAGCAATAATCTCTGCCGTCCATCTGCTCAAAGCACAAGTCACCAGAGGAAGAAATCCCATAACATGAGACCAGTTAATAGGTGGAGGGGGTAAAGAGTCAGCATCCATGTTGTCACCATCACTGGCGGCAGAAGCTGTCATTTTTGCATGCAACTCAGCAGTTGTCCCAGCAACGTGAATAACTTCTTCCAGCAGCTTTACTGATGCACAAAGTCTTTTACATTCCGGGGAAGTTTCTGGTTTTAATTCTTTTTTGAATGAAATGTCTTGGATTTTCTGTAGATTTTGAATGAATGTTGGGAAATTTTCTCTGAAATAGAGGTAAATATTTTAAGTTGTAGAGAATACCACAGTGAGAATATGTATCAGCCAGCAGGCTGTTTGAGGGGGTTGTTATAAAAGTGTTTGATAGACACAGATGGACATTTTGATGGACATTAATCAAGATATTTCCATAAATGTCCATTTTTGAGGCACATTCCATCAGAAACTTTGTGTTTTTGGACAATGTCATGGGAAAATGTCATGTCCTCCACCACAATCCCATTTTTTGCTCACTTATAAATGGTACAATTGCATGCATCCTATAAAACCTTTTAGCTAGGGCGTAATGATTTCTCATCTCTAGCATAGAGTAACATTTCTTTTTTTTGACAGTTGCACATGAGAAAATGCAAAATAAAGATACAACTAAAACAAATAATCTTATTCTCAAGGAAATGACAAGTGGTCTGTGATGGAAAATTAATACAGCTTGTTAAAAGAGCCTGACTCTGATGCAAATACTGCTTTTACCTAAATTGATCACATGCCAGTCCATAACTGATGCACACCGTCCAAGTCCTAATGCTTTCTATGTACAAGTTCATGGCATCATCCAGAAAAAGCTGAATATCTTTAGGGTGGAGTGCAGTGTAGCATAAAATACTTTCCATCATGCCATGTTTGGAAATCTGAAAATATAGTTTGGTACAAAAGTATAGATAAAAAAATATATTGCACAGTTCTTTATTATATATTACTACTATTTTAACCATTTAATTTTTTTTTGATTTGCTTTTTTTGACATTTCTAAGCATAACAAAAAACCTAATCCCCATTTCTTCATTTCTGCTTCCCTCCCCACCTCTCCTCTCCTCCTCTTTCCCTTCTCTTTACTTTAAATGACTGCAACCCACTCTATACCCACCATGATAGCTGTTATATTTCTACCACAGCTACATATTGCTCTTAGCAGCATCATGGCTTCTTGTAACGGCACACCATATACATCACTTATATCTTCCATAGTTTGTTCAACCTTCTTCCAAGAGATGGGAAGAAAATTAGAAAACAAGCTTTCCATCAACCTTGGACATTTAGTAACCTCATGGCCAGCTTCAGTTGAATGGCTGGTTATTCTTGTGAGGATTGATAGTATACTACGAACAGTTGTTGGCGAAGGTCGGCATACTTCAAGGATATAACGAAGACGAGGCAATATACGCATTTGAAGAAGACCCTGTTGAAAACACAAATAAATTACAGTTAGTTATAACTGTTAGCAGTTGAACTTACAACAAATTGACCCTCTCCTGGCTGGAGAACCCTATTCCAGTCATACAAGAACTTTCCAAGTGCAATATTGATAGTTAGCGTATAAATATACATATTTATAATAGAATAATAAACTTGCAGAAGAACATAAACACTGAATTATGGAATCAGTCCATAAACTTGCCTTGATGACATCTGTTTTTACCATTTCTGCATCAGTTTTATGCTTGGACTCCTCATCGTCATCAATCTTATCTTTATTCTCTTCATCATTTTCTGGTCTGAGTGAAGGAAGCTCTTGTCCATGATGCCATTCAAAGACTTGAGAAGCATATAGCTGTTAAAAAATCACTCAAAATGTAATTACTCTGACATGCAAAATATCGTCATGATAATATAAATAAAGTATCAATAGTATTTGTTTGTCTCTGATTTAATTATTGTCATTGTTATTGACTTTTTGAACATTTACCAAAGGCCTTCGTCAGTAAAAATGATGGCTTGTGCACAAATTTCAAACATAAAATACTGTTAGTTAACTCTCTTTTGATGCCCTTGCTTGCAGGTGTGAGGTTTATCTAAGAGGGTCTTATAAATGTCTGGGATTTGAAGACAGTCATTTCCAGCATCCCTTATCTCACAGTAAACCAGTAAGAATAATCTAATAGTACTAAATAATCTCTAGAGACATTATTAGAAAATGCTTTGTCTTCAAATGAAAACCATAAGTTAGTTAACATATTAAAATAAAAGATGTGCAAAATTAAGTTTCAAAATATGGGGGACAGTTTATCCTGTCACAAGGCTTAGCTCTCATCTTTAATTTTTTTATTTTAAATTGCTGAACTATTGGAAAAAATACTAACCTGATCATTGGGAACAACTACAACTGCTGCAAGACACTGAACAGCAACTGCCATCACTGCATCAGCAGTATCATCCAGTGCCCAGCGCAGCAGAAAAATAATACCAGTATCAAGTAGAGTCTGTAGCACACAACCTTGTATCACATCACAAAACCTGCCTTGTGTGTCCTGGAAATACCAGTTTAAAGCTTTTAAAAATTATGTCCTTGTTGGGTGAGGGTAGCAGTTTATAGACAATGGCTAACAAAACTGTAGCCCTCAGTCCATGATCAAATTGGCATATTTAGAAGTTGGTCTTAAGGACAAATGGGGAGTGTGTGTGTGTGTGTTGGAGGGGGGGGCGTGTGTGTGTGGGGAGGGGNGGGGCATGTGGGGGGATGTGTGGGGGAAGGGGGGATGGAGCTGGAAAATCCAAAGAACACCCTTGCTTTGAGGGCAAACTTTGTCCTTGTCCAGTCAAATGCCTCTTGGTACTTGTCCTGTCAAATGTCAGTCTTCTTGACCAGTCATGACATCCGATTTTTAGCCCTTCTCCTGATTTTTCTTTTCTCAATTAGTAAATTCTAAGTAGGACTAATGACTCTATGTGGATGGCAATCCAATTGTTCAATTAAGCATTTTACCTGTGATACTATCCTAGCTAATGTTTGCAGTGCAACAACTCTCTGCTGTAAAAAGTTGCTTCTTGCAAGCATAAACAACTCTTCTAGTGTGTACCCAGCTGCCTCAGGATTATCACCATGGTGATGAAGTCCGAGATTGACAGGTACTTCAGTATCTTTGGTTACCAGGTTACCGTTGAAGGCAAAACGAGCTTGATTTCCACCCTAAAAAATTGGTGTAAAGGGATGAATTTATGAACAGGTAATTGAACAAATGAATGAACCAACAAACCAACCAACAAACCAATGAATGATAAAAGGATCAAATGAATGGAGGAACAAACAAATGAACAAACAACAAACAAATGAACAAATGAACCAAGGAAAAAACAAACCAGGAATAACAACCAAACAAGTAAACCAATAAACAAATGAATGAATAAATGATTGAATGAACGAATGAACAAATGAATGAATGAGAGTGTACCTCTTTTCTAACTGCACTTGGAGCAGGACAATCTTTCATCCATTCAAGTTTTTCTGGTTCAATATGGTCCATATGAACCCATTTTTGAGAGGAAGCCATTTCAGCCAACTCTTCTACTTTAACAATTTTTTCCTCTGAGTCATTCTGGGATATCACATTAACTTTGTCATCAAAATGAACCCGTTTAGCCTTTTCTTCTCCAGCTTCATTGGTTTGATATCCATCCTTCTCTAAATCCATTGATTCTTCACTTTTTAAGTTCTGTATTCTGTCATCAGTATTTGACATTCCATTAGAGTTTTTCATTTGTTCTGGAATAATTCCTTCACTTTCTGTTTCCATCTTTTCTTCTTGATGATTTTTGTTAAAAGTCTTCTTTTGCAATCTTGACTGAAGAAACGATAACAGCCCAGAATCTGGTACAAATGAAAGTCATACAACTTTATAAAAGTTCAAAAGAGACATAAATGTGATAATACTCATTGTGGTATCCCTGTGGTGAAGACACATACCACAGGCAACCCAACAGTGTTACTCTATAGCTTGTGTCACACTCTCAACCTCAGAGCCCTGTCATTCTTACTGCGCATGCTCGACAAAATGCCAGAAACTCTGGAAAACTTTAGCATGTTGCGCAGATCTATGTCAGTGCAGTCAGCTGACACACAGACCAAACCCTGAATCAAACTCTGGGCTGATCAAGTCAGGGATGGCTAACTCACAGATTGAATCCTGAAACAACCTCTGGGCTGATCTAAGTCAGGGCATAGCTAACTAACTAACACATTGGAATTTAGCATCTTAGGTTTTGCTGAGAGAGGAAAACTTGGAGGACCCTGAAAAAAATTTCAAATCGTAGATAGGGAGAGACCTTGGAACAAACTCTACTCTAAGACTTATATGATGATACTCCAGGAATTGAACCTGAGACCCCAGAGGGAAGAGGTCAGTGTCTACCCCTACACCACCCTTGATTCCCAGAAACTTAGATTTACAGTAAAACAAAGTAACAAACCTAATGAAGATTTCAACCTTGCTTGCTCCTCCAAAATTTCTTCTTTTGACATGGTAGCCAGTCTATCGAGATTTTCCTTGTGAATATTTTCCACTTCTTTAGCTGCTGAGTTTTGATTCTCTGCTCCAGTGATTAACCCTTCTCCACTTACAAGGCTAGAAAGAATAGCAACATTCCCTTTTGGTGCTTTAGGTTCAACTTCTTTTGTCCTTGGAGCAAAAGTCGTGGATGTTGCAGCTGAAATACCAAATGAATTTGGATTTGAAGCTTTAAAATGCTGAGCAAATAGGCTTATTTTCCCTCCATCAGCTGCTTGCTTTTTGTTCTCCTCCTAGAAAATCATAATTAGATTTTAAAAATTTAACATCTGCTAGATGGTGTACCGTGGGTGTTTGCCAGATTACCTAATTCCCATGCATGGACTGGTTACTTCCATCACAGCCAGTTAAAGCACCTAATCTCGAGCTTTTCTTCATTCCCCCAGGAGTTAAAACAATGTTTATTTATTTCAATAATTCACCAGTCTAAATTATTAAATTATTGATAAAGATAGTATAATCCTATATTAATATTTTGTTAGTAAAATTGATTAATTTTTATTTAGATACAGTACCTCAGAGATGTTTCCTCTGTGCAAGACCTCTGGGAATCCTTTTTGTAAAATATTGCTAGGCAAAAAAACTTGACTCCTCTGAGTGTCTCTTTCCTATAAAAAAATATATAATGCATAACTTTACTTCATAATATCTTATTCTTTGACATGATCGTTAATTAAGATTTCAGATTTAATTAAACGATTAAGTGTGTGTACTCAGTAAGGCAGGGGAGGGGGATCAGGTAGGGTTATATAGTTTTACTTTCTTCATCCTACCAGCGCTCGACAGTAACATATATCTAATAGTCTCAGGCTAGTGAATGTTTGCTATGGACTAGTGAAAATATATAAAGTAATAATCCACAGTGGCTAGCTCAAGGACTAGTGCCTAAAAAAGTTAGTGCTGAGCCCTGCCTTCATGGTATTATAATGAACATGGGTGGTTTTAAATAGAGACAGTGAACCTTATCAACACCACTTATAAAGTAACCTTCACCAAGGTCCAGGTAAGATAGTTTAGTACTTACCCTAATTTCACTAAGTACTGTTGATATGTGGCTCCTATCATGCCCTAAAATCACATAAAACTCAAGTTTAAAATTAATATAAACTTAGAAAAACCTTTGAGCACTTGCAGCAGTTCTTACTTTCAAGCAGTTCTGCAGCATCCTCTTCATTGTCATCTCCAGTAGCTGCAGTCTTTACAAATTTGTGAAAAAAAGGATATTAATGTAAATACTTGTTTAATTTTACTTCAGTTATGATAAATATAAGTCAAGTTAATTACGAGAAATTTCACATAATGATAGCACACAAAGAGCAGCTATTTTTGACGTGCATCATAGCCACCATGTTGATGGATGATAACACAGCATTCCTCATTAGGTACTCTTGCTAGATCAACCATCATGGCAGCTGTTTTTCATTGTCATTTATATCTCAAGGGATTTGGAGTCATGTGTTTGCAACCAAAGAATATTTGATATACAGAGGGATGGTATAGGTTGCTATCAATAGACGTCCTGGAGGTTGTTTTGATCTCTTGTTTTCTGGTTTGATGTCGTGAAAATAGTCAAATACAATAGTTTGAGGACTTATTTTAATATGTTTTGACTTAGCATCCACTAGTTGCCTCCCAGTCAACTGCTTGTTTGCCCCCCGGTCCACTCCAAAAGGTCAGGTGATTGATAGTAAGCCAGGGCTGTCAACCCCCGAGACATTCAAATCTGGAGAATTGATAGGGAAGGGACATGACGTCACAGCGCGTCAAAAAGTGCGCGAAAAGATATCTTTCACTTTGTAACATTTGATGTGATTGGTTTATTTCTGACCATTCATATTATCGCTTATATTACAATGGCCTGCTTGCAAGAACAGTTTATGAGGAACGTTTTGATTTTGTTAGCGACAAACAACATGAAATTATTGGAATATCACAAGACAAGAAATGGTCAGCTTCTGGGATTACCCGGGAGATTTAATACTCTAATCTGGAGACTGGGAGACACGGTCCAAAATCTGGAGACTCCCGGTTTATCCGGGAGAGTTGACAGCCCTGTAAGCAATGGCTGAAGATTGAATAGACAATGAACCAACTACGACACTGAAAGACTGTATGGGTGGATGAATGGGTGGCATGGGATGGGATTAGACAGATAAATGGATGGATGAATGGGAGGTGAGGTGGGGCAGATAGATAGATGGATAGGTACATACCTTTATATTTCTAAACATTCTTTTTTCTTTGAATTTGGATTTCTTTTTTGGAGGAGCCATAGCACCAGCATGCAAATCAGGTAAAACTTGTGGTAGTCCTTGATTAACACAAAATAATATAAGGACATTCAGCATTCAGCTACCATTTAGTCATGTAAGCTTACAGTACATAAGCTAGGGTTAGCATTCATTTGCAAACGTTCATTAAACTTATACATGTTCTTATTTAAACTTGACATAAAATTCTTTAAAATCTTCTAAACTCGACCGCATCTATAAGTAGAAAGCGTATATTTTATACTTTGTAAGTCTACCACATCTCGTTGAGAATGTGATTCAGGTCTCTTCTCTCCAGTCACACATGCTTGTTCTTGTTCGCCTTTCTTTGCTCGCACAACTGTGGCTGCTGGTTTACCGTCATTTACAATAAACTGTTCTTGAAACTTAAGGAGGTCCTCTTCTGTTTCCCCTCGTTTAGGTCTACCAGCCATAATGATTAATATTTCGTATTCTTCGTTGTAGTATATTTATATTACTAGATTGAACTATCGTCCGCCATCTTGGAAATTAGCAGCCAGGCGATCTTGGCCCAGAATGCAAAACGGTGAGAGAAAGCATGACAAAAACGCGCGAAACGAGCGCCAGCCATGCGAAACAACGCGAATGGCGCATTCTCTGCTAAATTGAAACGGCAGAAACAAAGAAATTCGTTGACGCGCACGTGATGGGAGAACAATGATAGGTTAAAATACTAGATGGGGTTAATACTATTTCCGATAAAGTCTTCTCCTTATTCTGGTGTTTCATGTCACATTCCTAAGAATCGAATTTCACGGCGAGCAAAGAGAATCTCTTCGGCTGCTGGGTTTCAAACAACTCATGAACGGTCTGTAGAAATACTAACTGAACGTAAAAATGTACGATTTGCAGCAGGGGCGTTCATGTAAGACCTGCATGTTGACATTTCTGGCAATTATTTGGATTTTCAAACTTTCTTTTTGTAAAGGGATTTCATCTAGCTACAACAGTAAGTAACCAGCAGCTGTATCCTTCAGTCGGCGTATAAGTCAAAAAGGCATATTAATTTCGCAAGGAACGAGCCGCGTCTTCGATAGCTGAACTTCATATATTAATATATTTTCTAACTAAGACGAATCAGCAAAGAAAGCGCTAGCATACTAAGACTTAACATCCTCACACGCGGAAGTAACGACACTGGAAAGTTCCGGTCATCTTTTTAGCGTATCAGAATTGTCAGTTTATTTAGAAGTATTGAAAATAACGACTTTAAGTCGATATTTAGAAATGACGGCTTCAAACGATATTATTGAGATAAGGTTCAGTCCGATAAGACATGGGCTCCTATGCAGCCGCTCGACGACACTAATAGCGCTGCTTTGGAAACTAGCCAAGACTAGGAAGACTGAGCCACATCATGATCGCTGATGAAGCTTTACTATCGTCTATCCCAAGGCTAACTGAACAGTAAGAAGACATAGTTTACTTCTTTTGTCACTTTTACCGATGCCTTTAGCTTTGCGATTTAGCGATGCAGATGCCTTCCAGCAGATATTTATTTTGGACCTTCGCTCTTAACTACTAATTTTAGGTTATTTGTCAGTTAACTACTATTTTTTGGCCAATTGGCCCCCTCTTTCAGGGCCGTAACCAGGGGGGAGCACAGGTTGCACGTGCACCCCCCATAAAAGCTGAACTAGGTCCGCTCATTTATCTCCTCTATTTTTTATTTTGTTGGTTCTGCTTTTTTGGTTATTTTTTATTTTCTATTTTCTATTTTTTATTTTCTATTTCTTTATTTCTATTTTTTTGGTTCTGCAAATCATTGCCTGTACACCTCCCTGCAAGATCCCTGGTTACGCCA